TATATATATATATATATATCACAATAATATTACGTATAATGAATATTGAACATTATACTAGTCTACCATATACGACGATGGTAGACGAGTGCTAGTAACGTTACATTATTTTATATATAATATATATATTACATCTCTCTGAAAACAGAATATTATAATCTAATAAAGTTTCTATTTTTTGGTATCAACAGCAACGATCAGTTAATTTCTGCGATACTGCTAATTTAACATATGGAGCGATATTGCATATTCACATAGAGTGAAATACTCATATAGAGTGAAATTTATCGAAACCATTTCAGATCTTTAGTAGTATTGTTTGACAGCTTTACTACAAATATTATAAACATTATAAAAATGAATATGTTGAAAAAATTTTCTGTTTGATATTACAAAATCTTTGTAAATTATAATGTAATCTATGAAAAAAATAGAAAAATACGTCGTGAACATTTTATTTCATCATGTATCCTGTTATGGCTGTAAATTTCGGTCTTTTTCATTTCTCAGGAAATTACCACAATGGTACGTATTCTGGCACCCATGTCCAACCAAGGAGTGAAGATAAATTCGTCGATACTTTAGCAATATCGAAATCTTCATCTTCTATCAGCGACGTTTCCGAAATGTACAGTGCCTGCAGACGATTAGCGCATAACGTAACAAATTTCGCTAATCCAGAACAGCTATAAGATAAAACAAAAATTATATTATTATACTAGTACTTCTAATCGATATTTTACTGAGAAAAATAATGTTCTCTGTAACATCACTGTTACAAAACAATAGTGAAATATCTATTAAAAAGATTCCAAAACTATTTTGGCAAATCATTCGAACTGGCATTGGGAAATTAAACATTATTAATTTTAAAACTGCGTGTCTAAAGAAATAAAACTTAAATTTGCAATAATCGAATTTTTAAAGTTTATGTCTCAATGTTGAATGAATTAAAGTAATGATATATATTTATAAGTACATACGTAATCTCGCAATCGCCTAAACCGACGGCGCTGAGATGTGTGCAATCCTTAGCCATGGAAATCAAGAATCGATCGATTGGACCGGATCCATACGCAGCGATAACTAATTCTATCAATCGTGGACACTGTTTGCTTATCCGTGACATTATCAATTCTGACGTTGCGTCACCGAGATACAAGTGCGTTACGGGGATGTGCGATGTGAAAAGTAATTTTTGATCGTCATCGTCAATAATGTAAGATAGTCTAAGATAAAAGAGATAAAAGACAACTGTAATTTTGACTTACATCATATAGTACGGGGATAACGAGATTTTTAATCGAGATTACTGATTTAGTTTTACTTACAGCGCGAGATTTACATCGGGCAAGTGATTCGAAAATGCAGACCACGCTTCGTCGCTGATACGTGGAAGAGGCTTCGCTTCCGGATACACCTCCACTCGCAAAATTTCTAAACAAATTTGCTTTACCGAACATAACGCTAGAAGTAGTTCGTCGCTCAGTAGGGCGTATGATAAAGATAATTCGCGAAGCCATCGGGAATAGTTAGCCAAAGTCAGGATGCCTAAAATGTTAATGAATTTTCTTCAGCGTATATGTATGCAATTTGTGAAACCAAAAACTTAACTCTTATCCAGTAAATCGTCGATGATAGCCTGTATGATGAGCGAGTTTCGAATTACCTTCGGGTAATAATCGCGGAAATCCTTTAATTCGCATAAGACACAAGGTTCTGGGATCATTCTCATCATTGCGAAGATGTTTCTTTCTGCATTCGGCGTTCCTAGTTTTAGATATCATCACTACAGATTTAAAATGCTCACTGTCTATCCCGAAAGAAGTGAGCTTTGTAGTGTTTGTTACTGCAAACATTTGTGATGATCGAAATGTTTAATTTTTCACTACTCTCTGGAGTAAAAACAATAATGCAGGATTTTATTGAGAATTAGTGAATATTCGCGTTTTTTTCATTTTATTTTACAAAGTCAAATTAGAGATTTCTAAAAGATCACATATTACACTATTTCACTTTTTAAGCTTTTTCTTCACAGCAAATATTTCCAGTTTAATATCACTGATCGAAAGAATTTATTATTAACTGGCTTCTTCCAGAGAGATGTCGGTGCTTGAATGCTGAGTGCTAGACTTATAACTGCTACTGCATACTCTTCATTGCTTTTCAGTGAACACACTGATTTAAGAAAATAATACGTTAACATTTAATCTTACGTGAGATTCTAGTGTGATGAAAGAAGTTCTAAATACTAAAATATTCACGAAATGATCTCGATGAAATCAAAGATTCCTTCTTTCGTTCCGACGCAAATCATGGTCTCCTATGAAACGGTTGTTCTAACTCGATTCATCGAGATGTTAGGAAAAAGCGAAAGGAGTTTGCGGAAGTGGGGACTAGGCCATGCACGCGAGGGTACGTGCGTTAAGTAAAAGTAAAATCGCGAAGAAAAGGGTCAAGGACTACAAGATTGTACGCTTGCATATGTTATTCGCACAATGCTCACGTGCATCAGTGAAAAAGGATAAGATCTTATACATGAAATATCCATAGGAAAAATATAATAAACGCGTGAGTCAAAATGCTACGTTCCTCCCCTGAATTTTCCACTTTGAAAATTGGAGTGGACTACAACAAAATTTTCGTTTTTGTTTATTCTGAAATATATAAATTATTGAAAGTTATAAATTATTGAGTTTATATAAAATTCTACATGATATTAATTACATGCTATTGTATTTACGTTAAATGATTAAACAATTTTTTTAACTCAGGATCATCGAGTTAATTAGGATCATGAAGTTTCTTAAATAGAAATACTTAACTTTGAACATCATTGCTATCGTGAATCGAATCAGCGATCGTTTACTTATTTATTTAATTATTGACTCGCACGTGACGTTCCTTTCACTAGTTATCCACGTGCTACTAAGCTCACGTGCCTCATGTTCGTGTCCCTTCACGTCCGACATTCGTAGAGGCCGCACTATCCCAGAATGCACAAGTGATTTGCATAGTATGTTACGATCATCATCAAAGATACAATTGTATGTACAATGAAAAATACTAAAATAATTAATATCATTAAAATGAAACAGTGAAACAAGTAGAAAACAAAATTTTAAAGAGTAAAAGATTTACAATTGAAAAAATATAATTCTCTTTGAAAAAATTATATGTAAATATATTTTTGCACATATTTGTTGTTATTTTAACTATATGTATAATTAACATTATGCATTGTTCAAAACTTATTTTCGTATTTATCCTCGAATCCCGCTACAGGCCATTTTTTTAAATAATCTTTCAAGACAAAAGGAAAGAGAGACAATACTTTAAAACTATTTCCCATCTTATCTTCATCAGTTATCATATGATATCCTGATTCAATTTGTTGTTTCTGAACACTAGTAGCATTTCGTAAAATCATTTTTAATCGTAGATCAATGCCAAGATTTTTCAGAAATTTTCTTTGTGTCACTGGGCCAAACGTAATTAATCTATTATCTTTCTGTGCAATCTCTTTCATTAATAAAAAGTCAACATCCGCAGTTAAATCTGCGATTCCAGGGTTTAGCAAGGGATCGTGTAATTTATGTTGGCAAAATGCGCGAAATGTATCAGTTTTTTCCCTTTCGTGGCCGTAATCAATCACCAGGGCAAATCCTCCGTTTTCCCATAAAAATTGGGATATATAGTCTGTTATTACAGAACACTGCGGACTTATTTCCAAATGATCTCTTTTTTCATATGGCTAAAAGATATCGCGTTTGTTAATCAACTATTTAAAATTTAAATGCTGTAAAATAAGATGCTTACAGGTATATATACTTTACAAGCAGCTGTTGGCATTTGCGAAAGTACGTATTGAAATCTCTCTTCTTTTGAGTTCTGCACTATGTCTATTAAAATTTCTCTCCAACCTTTGTCAGTTTTCTAAAATCAAGCATCGAAATTTTTGCGAAAATTACTCTTTGTCTACATCTTATGTATTAATCAATATTCAACGTCAAATATTTATCAATGTTCTCATATTTTGGTACCTGGAATTTGTGTATTGGCAGAGCATCAAAAAACTCTTGTGCAACAAATACGCTGAACTTTCTAGGAACATCGTTGATAGAATAATACCAGTATATTTTTACTCCGTCCCTTGTAATACCCTCCCTATAATGTGTAACAGAATTTCTTTGACTTTCATTGATCTCTGGTTCAATGTTTTTACTTTCTATACATAATTTTTCTGCTTGAATTGCAGATAAAACGGGACTAATTTCTATCAGATGAACGGATATCCCATTTGAGAGATTTAGTTTCTTAAATACCTATAACAAGCGAAGTCTTGTAATTTTTATATTTATATGCTTGTAAATAGTAAGCATATTAAAAATATACCCGTAGAATATCAGCGATCAAGGTACCTCTCCCTGGACCTAATTCTACAAGTTGGATAGGATCTCTGCTAATTTTGCTCCATTCATTGATTATCCAAATGGCTATAAGCTATCAATAGAGAATTATAATGTATATAAACTATTCCTGAGTAATAATTTCTTTTCGAAAGCTCCAGGTGAATAACTTTATGTTATTTAAAAAATAAAAAAATGGAATTTTTTTCAAATTCTTAACAGACATAATCTCAAGTTTAATCTAATCTTTTAAGAGATCATTGATAAAATAAATAATAAACAATGATCATTTTATATGATCCAATGATGAGAGTTACATACTTCTCCAAAAAGTTGACTGATTTCTGGAGAAGTTGTGAAATCACCTTTTTGCCCGAAAACATCTCTAGTTGTGTAATAACCTGCGATGGGATTGATCGATACCTCCTTCATATATTCGGCGAGTGTTATGGGACCGCATGCCAATATTTTTGCATACAACTGACGATATAGATCAGTTTTCTTTTCTAAGTTGCTCAATGAGCGTAACCTCATTTGCGATAATTGAGCGAAAGCTCGCGACAATCTAATCATGTTGAATACAACATTAAATACCTGCACTTAAAAATAACAAAAAATATTTTTAAATTAACTTTTTTTAAAGTTCTATCGAAAGTTCGGTGGAATTATATTATATTGCTTTCAACCTGATTTTTTTGGTTACTTGGCATAAAAAACTTTATACATTTCTAAATACTTATTCTAAGTTTTTAATCTTTTTTGACGCAATCTAAATTTTTTGTTTATTTTTCTAAAATTTATTAAATAATTATTTTAAGCATGTCATATTCTTTGTTTTTTTAATCCAAATGATATACAGCCGCTTTTTTAGGTTACATTTTTAGGTTAGTTCAGTTAGGTTAGTTCACATGTTCACATGCCTTTTCCACAAAGTATGAAATAACTAGAAGGAGAAACGGCTAAACATTTGACATGGAAGAAGGACTTTGGTTGATAACAATGTGACATACTTTGTTTCCCCCCTTATATTTGTGTTTACACTTTCCCGCACAAGTGGTAGCCGTCAAAACTCAACATTTAAAGGAGTAACATAAAATTGTAATTCAAATTCTTTTACATTTTTTGCAGATAATTTTTAAAATTAGGTGATCTATTTTTGACAAATGGATATCGGAGAATTGTTATCTTATAAGGTGTGTATTCGAATTATTGTCCAGCGATTTGTTTAATTTATATTTCTTTTGGAAATGTTTTATATACATTATCTAATTTAACCTTAATTTAACTTATTTGTAAGTTTTTAGTTCAAATTTCTTTGAAAATTTTATCTATTAGTTTTGCTATTTGTTTTTTTGTTTGATACAAATAACAGCAATATAAAAATTGAGTAATGATAATATGTACAGCCCCCAAATACTCCAAAACGACCGACAGCCGGGGAGGAAGACGACGAAGATGAATGGGAGAGTGCGAAGAAGCCAAAGAGAGTGATAAAGACACCGTACCATGCACGTCAACGGCAACCCAAGGAACTTGATGTGGTACCCTCTAGGAATGATGAACCTGCTACACCTGTCAGGGCTGCTTTGCCCTCACCAGCTAATGATGTTGTTGAACCACAATTAACAGAAAAGGAGAAGCAAGACATATTGAAATATGTAGAAACTGAAGCACCTGAAGTCGAGGCATTGGATGAAGCAACGCTCAAACGTATGATTCTTTTATTTGAGAAACGAGCTCTAAGAAATCAAGAAATGAGAGTCAAGTTTCCAGATCAGCCAGAAAAGTATGTATATGTGAAAGTTAAATAAAGTTGCCAGAGATGGAAATTTTGATATATAATTGTTTCCATTCTCTTTGGATATTTTTCAGATTTATGGAATCTGAGGTTGAATTGCATGAGACTTTGCAAGAGCTTCATATTATAGCAACCAATCCAGATCTATATCAGTTAATGGTAGAGTTAGGCGCAGTACCTTCTCTACTTGAATTGCTTTCTCATGAAAATACTGATATAGCAGTTGGTGTGGTAGATCTTTTGCAGGAGTTGACCGATGTAGATATATTGCATGAAAGTCATGAAGGTGCAGACACACTTATTGATGCTTTATTGGAGCAACAGGTTTGTGCTCTTTTGGTGCAAAATCTTGAGAGGCTTGACGAAGCAGTGAAAGAAGAAAGTGATGGCGTCTATAACACACTTGGTAATTAGTTAACAACATATATATCATTTTCTTATTTCTGGAGAAACATCATAAAACTTTTATTAACTTGCTGGCGATTTTGTTTTCCAGCTATTTTTGAAAATCTTTTGGAGTTTAGACCAGATCTATGTGCAGATGCAGGAAAGCAAGGTCTAATGCAGTGGCTATTGCGTCGAATCAAAACGAAAACTCCTTTTGATGCGAATAAACTTTATGCTAGTGAACTCCTGTCTATACTTTTGCAACACACGCCAGAGAATAGACTTCTTCTTGGTGATTTAGATGGAATTGATGTTTTGTTACAACAATTAGCTGTATGTATTTTTATTTCTGTTTCTTAATCTCTGCATACAAAAAAAAACTTTACTAAGTCGAATTATTTTAAAATTTTTATTTATTTACAGTACTACAAAAGACATGATCCACAAACTGCGGAGGAACAGGAGATGATGGAAAATTTATTTAACGTCTTGTGCTCAAGCTTAATGGCTACTGTAAATCGTGACAGGTTCCTACGTGGAGAAGGTCTTCAACTTATGAATTTAATGTTACGAGAGAAAAAAATGTCACGAAACGGATCTCTCAAAGTAAGTTTATTTGTGGCGGACTTTTATAAATTACTATATTTAAATTATATAGGTTTTAGATCATGCTATGAACGGTCCAGATGGAAAAGATAATTGCAGCAAGTTTGTAGATATTCTTGGATTGCGAACTATATTTCCCTTGTTTATGAAAACTCCAACAAAGAATAGGAAAAAAATGCTAACTGCTGAAGAGCATGAAGGTATTTATATAAATTGTCAAATATAATCTTAATATATATTAATGTTGTTAATTACAAAATTTCGATCTGTTTAATTATTTATAATGAAATAATAAGCAAGTAATTTTACAGAACATGTGATTTCAATCATAGCAAGCATGTTGAAAAATTGCAAAGGACAACAACGTCAAAGACTACTTAGTAAATTTACGGAGAATGATTACGAGAAAGTGGATCGATTGATGGAATTACATTTTAAGTATCTTGAAAAGGTAGAGGAAGTGGAGAAAAATGGGAAGGTATATACAAATAATATTTAACATCTAAAATGAAGATTATGCAAAAATTTGTTCTTTTTATTTTTATAGGAGGATGAGGACGAAGAAGAATCTTACTTAAGAAGATTAGACGGTGGATTATTTATATTACAATTAGTAGATTATGTACTTTTAGAAGCTTGCACTGGCTGTCCGCCTGCAGTAAAGCAACGAGTGACAAGAATTTTGGCGCAGAGAAGAGCATCCCTTAAAACAATTCGACACATCATGAGAGGTAAATTACGTGTAATATAATTTTATTACATATTTAATCCATATCAACATATTTTTTATTTTAAAGAATATGCTGGTAACTTAGGAGACGCTGGCGATACAGAATGGAAAGAAGCGGAGCAACAACATATCTTACAATTAATTGACAAATTTTGATATGTATTTTCTATATTTTAATTATGTAATGTACTATATAATAAAGGATACATTCGATCATTATATAAATATTTAGGTATACTATGAACTGAGAATTATATAAGAAAAATATGGAAACCTTTTTTGATTAATTCTACACTTGTAAATCTATCTGTAAAATATTTTGAAAGAGAAAAAAATATCTATATATATAAAAATTATAGCTAAAATTCTAAGTTTTAGAGATTAATATTATTTATATTATTATTTAATATATGCAAGATATACAATGATATGAATAACTATTGGTAAGGAAATAATTATTTTTAAAGAAAATACACAAATATATCAAATATATCATTAAATATATCAAATATTTTATTCTAAATATATATATTTATTCTAATATTTTATTCTAAATATATTTATTCTAAAAACTTTAAATTTTGATTATGGATTTGTTTATTTATATTTAATTTTAAAGTCCTAGTAAAATTGACCAATCATAGCTGGGCATTCTCGGAGATAATAGGTTAGATTGAAGCCGGTTTTATGATGGTGAATAAGAAAGCGATTGTTTAAACACGTATACAGCTTTATGTGAATAAATCTTTTTCGTATTTTATATTTAATCTTTTAACGTGGTATATAAATAAGATATGGATAATAATATAACTGATAATGCAACAATGGGACTTGAACAATTAAAGAATTATCAGCAAATGCTGCTAAATAATGTGATAGCACAGGTGCAATTACATAAAATATTTTTCAGATTTTACTATTAACGTTCTCTGATGTTTTCTGAACGTTCTTTTATGTTATTTATTATATTACATTCTAAAAATTAAAAGTTGGACTAAATGCCTTACAGAAACTTGAACAAAACGAAAAGCAAACCAAGACAATAACTGATTATAAGAACAGGCATAAAAAAGTAATAGAGGGACTTGAAGTATATCCATTATCTCTTTCTGAGAATTGTATGGTGCCCATTGGCAAACGGGCGTTTATGAAAGGAAAATTAATTCACACCAATGAAATTTTAGCTAGTTTAGGAGGTGGATATTTTGCTAAATATAGTGCATCGCAGGCGATTGCATTGTGCAACAGGCGAATAGCATGTATAAATATTATGTATATCTTTGTAAATTATTTATAATAAATACTATAACTAACATATTTTTACATCAGGGGCTGATGAAATGCTAAAAAATTTAGAAATTGAAAGAAATTTATTCGAAATGAAACAATATCTTCCTTTACAACATGATGTCTTTGGGGAAGATGATAGAAAAGATATTGTGGAACATTGGAGCGAGAATAAACTGGATGAGTGGAGAGGTACAAAAAAATTTATATCTTTGTATTATATTAGATATTAAAAATATTTTTATTGCAGTACAACATAGACAGCGTGAAAAGGAGTATCGTCAGAAACTAGCAGAGCTGAGGGAACAAGAAAAAATTGACATTCGTACTGAGGAAGATCTTTTTGAAAGGCTTAATGAATTAGAACTAGAAGAAGAATTAGAAGATGAAATTTTCAGGTTACCTAGTTTTATAATTAACACTTTCATCGATAGTCATAATTTATTAACTATTCTATAATCATAGATTGGAAACTGAAAGAAAAAAATTTTATGGCGACGACTTAAAAGAGGGTGAAGTTTATGATGAATCAGAGGAAGATGCATCTGATATTGATGAAGTTGGATATATAGAGAAGATTCAAGAGGAATTAAAGAAATTGAAGGATATCCAAATGGGCAAAATCACAAGTGATACATCAAGTATCAATCCTGATATAGCTCAAGATAAAACTGTTGATACAAATATTTCAGAAAATGAGCAGTCCCATTCCTCTGCGAATTTTAGTCAAGAGAAAATAAGGAGAGATTATTCACCTGAACCTCAGAATGTATCAAACACAAAAGGAGAAAGGAGAATATCATTTGCTGAACCGTGTATAATAGAAAACGACGGCATTATAAAAAAAGAAATATCAATATTTCAGGAATCTTGTTCTGCTTTGAAGCAAGAAGCGTATAATGAAAATTCTGCAGATGGAGATGATATCATCAAGATAGAATTCTCACATTCATCTCATATTCCACATATATTTGAATCAGATAGTACGGAAATACGTAGCCCAGTAGATATTTATAAAATGTTTAGTGCTCTTAAATCTATTTTGAAAAGATCTCCGAATGATATGATACCCAATCAAGTTGCGCCTCCTGTAAACGAATATAGTAGTTCAGATACAGAAGACGAAGACGAATATGTTAAACGTTCTGCATATAACTCTGTAAGTAAACATAATTTAATGATATTATATAAATAATTGCATATAAATAATATTTTGTAGGTAATCAAAGAGACAGTCCATGAAAATAAAACGCCAATAGATGTTTCGAAAAAAAGCAATGAAAAAAAAATCATGAGTAAATTTAAACTTGAACGAACTGGAAAAAAGAAGTGACTTGTAAACATGTACATTGACATAGAAAATATTTCTATAAAATATATACAAATAAATACAAATTGTAACCTTCAAGAACATTTTTTTACAGTTCAATTGAAATTCATTTGACAAGGATTTTTGTTTCTGAACCTATCTATAAAGATCGCAGTCTATTCTATTTTAATAATAAGTTCATGAATTTTAACAAATTTTAAGAATAAAACATTTGAAGGAATACATAATATTTACAATATATTTATTTCTGTGATTTCCATACAATAAGTGATCCATTTAATTCCGAGAGGATGGCAGAAGAATATGGTAATAAATGAAGATAGACATAATTACTGTCTAATAACATTAATTCTATGTTGAAAACAATCCACTAGTTCACGCATCCTTAAATATATTATATAGGTGCTTTCTCAACAAGTTTGAACCAGTGGCCACATTCACAGCGACGAGGAGGACCTTGATGTAACCACATCCAGTTCACATGTGTTGAATCTTCATCGCAGATGCATCCCATTATGCGACTCTCGAATGCGCTATAAACTATATTAGGATCTTCCTTTGTGCTAATTGCTCGCCGCTTTATGGTCATATTGTATGGATCCTAAAAATATACAAAGGGAACATTTTTTTTTTAAATAAAATATCATTAGTATTTGTCACAGTGATCTTTGAATGAAAAATGTTAAGAAAATTAACATGATAAAAATATGTTTTATTATAATATTAGCTTCTTATCTTTGATACTTGAAGCCTTATTAAGGACTCAATTTTTTTGAGATTAATGCATGCAATGTTCCACTAGGAACATGGCATAACAATATCAATTAAATTATATTGTTGTTATATAATTATATCGCTATTAATAATATTATATTACTGGCACGTCAAAACCAAGAATATGTCCACATCAGCCAATTTGGAAATGTCATAACTTACATCGATACCGGCTAAACGGGCAAGCATCTCCCTCTTTTCCAAGCCAGTGGCATGATCTAGTGGATCGGCGACTATCAAGAAAAGAAAGCATACATGTGAATTGATCGAATTTTTTTCTCTCTAGTGCGCGCAATACGTCGGCCCATGATCGAAAGTCAAAATCGATGGGCGAACGAAAAACATTACGTAATGTGGACAATACGGAACATATACATGGGGAACGAAGAATGTTAACGGATAAGATATTTACATTGTTTCTTCTGGGCGCACGCAAGGCTATACGAGATCCGCCGTCGACATGTTTGGAGCGCAGTACGGGCGCATAACCATGCCATTTTTCAAAATGCAGAAGATATCGTATTAGCCGTCTCGGCCCGACTGGGTTAAGTCGTTGGTTCGGTCGTAGATCGAACGATGCGCAGATCGTCGCAGTCCTTTCGTCGAAAGAACAACGCATGTGGCGCTGCGGTACGCGAAAACATCGAAAACTCGCAGGCGGGAGTTTCTCGATAAATACGATCGTTAAGTTTTTATCCACAAAGAAAAGTTTTTTTGTTTGTATTAAATTGAGCAGTCTGTATTAAAAGTTAGTCAATTGGTCCATATAGCCATTGCGACTGATCAATTTTTCCTCTGTCTCGAATCGATTTCTAGCATGGTGGACACAAGACTTTATAATTAAAGAGATTTGACAATCATTTGGACAACTTAAATATTTTTACATAACAATTGTTTGGTATTTTTACGATTCACAACTAAACTTTGAAAAAGTTTTTTTCAAAATTGCATTTATATTTCAAGGACAAATTTCAAGGATTTGTTTCGAATCATTTGTATGATTTATTGAAACATTAGAAAGGAATTATTGAAAATTAACTACCAAGTATATTCGAGCCTTTTAAATTCAATCTTTCTTTCTTGATTATGAAGTTTTGACTTTTATTTATCACAGTTTAGAATGGAAAAATAAAAAAATAATTGAAAAAGAATATGAAAGACATAGAAAAAGAAAAGTTTGACTGTAAAATATTTGTATACGCCGTTGAGGATAAAAGTCGAAAAAAGTTATTAGAAACTTATTTAAAAAAAGAATATTTTTATTATATTAATATATAATTCTGAGTGAAATACACACACATATATATATAAAACAAATGTTATTTTGTATAAAATACATTTTTTCTATATTTAACATTATCTATTGTAACATTAACAACTTTAGCGCGGAAACATTCTTTTTTATACTAAAATCTTTTCGTAATAAAATTTAGTAGAATTTGATATCCGCGCGAGAAAGGCACGAGGTAATAATTCTACATATAATTGAAGTCGATTCTTGCATGCTTATGAAAATAAAAAGAAAAAAATATTATCGTGATTTTTATAATTTTGTAATAAAAATTCAAATATATATATTCTGAATAATATAGATTTGAAGATTCTGCTTTATTACTGATAACAAAATTTGATAAATCTTTTGTCACATTTCTATTAATTTTATAGAGCAAATACTTTTGACATCACAATTTGTAAGAGCTATTGTCGCACTTTTTTCTAACTAATGTAAAACAAATAAAAACAATCTCTTTGTAGCAAAAATTAATTAAATTTCCTTGGTATCCCCTGGGAATTTATATAACTTGGAAAACAGCTTTATGTTTCAGTTAAGAAAAAAATCGACTTCAAATCAATCAGCGAGCATGCCACTGAAATTAAGATCGCGCGCGAACATGAATTATGGCATACTTCACATATTACGACTACAGAGAATGTTACAAATGACTTGATATAAGAAGTATCCAAGTAAAAACATTCCAAATATTTGTAATATTCAGTATATGTATCAGGCTGTGTCGTGCGGCTCTCTTCTTGTGAAGAAATCAAATATGCCCAGCCTACGTCTATTATAGTAAAATATTTTTTATTTTTCCTAGATTTGCTAGCAATATAAACCATTTCCCTGATTCTTGATAATGTACTTTGTTAAATATTGCACCGCCTTCTCATTTAATCCTAAATTTGGCAATTCCCTCTCGAATTGTTCAAGGGTGCCCGCGCCTGCTATATAGCCGTTCAACTTGGCTGCCAATGGAGAAGTACGCAAAAGTTCTGGTGTGGTGAAACCCATTGTCTCGATCAACCACGGATGACTCTGTAGGCGATATTTCTGGTGATAACTAGAAACACATATGTTAATTTCATTTAACTAAATTGAACATATGTTATCCTGCACAAGACATTTTATTATTATCTTTACTTATTAATATGATTTTATCTGTTATATAAAATAAAAATATATTTAAAGTTATGAAATTATAATAAATTATCCATTTTATAATATGTTACAATTATCATATATTTTACATAACTATAGTCACGTTATATAATATATACTTGTATTTTTAATGATAATACATTTATATTATCAGCAATCTAGATAAGCTGATATAAATGTTGACATTGAAACACTCCAAAAAATTAAATTTTACTGATAATAAGAATAATTAAATATATGAATACATATAATAAATAAAATGGCAATAAAACATCACTTACTCTTCGGCTGGATAGAACTTAGTAAACTTCTTAATTTCCGTGATAAAGACTTCTCCACGCTTCCTCTGTTCCTGCTCACGAGATTTTTCAGCCAGCAACTTTTGTTCTTCATCATGATATAAAATCAATGACATATACTGTAAATTGAATTAACATTTAGTATTTTAATACATTAACGAAACATAGATTACATTAATTATTTATGTAAACATACTAAATTATTACTATGTTATAATCTATAAAGATTAAATTTATCTTTTCTAACATCACCATTTTCTTTTATTGGAAATGATACAATCAAATATAAATTGATATATTTTAACAAAATACCTGTCTCTTAATCTTCGTTGTTAGACCATACTCGTGATTGTTCCAAAATAAGCTCAACAAATATGAATAAGACACTAGTTCTGGATCATATTCAATATCGATAACCTCTGTATGATCTCCCCTGTAAGCAAAAGAATAAAGAATATGTCAAATAGAATCTTACAAACTTTCAAAAACCGCAAGAATGCAGTTACCGGCAATAATGGGGAAAAGACTCACATATTTTTATACACCGGAGACTCCTTGGTGCCACCGGCATAACCGACGCAGGTCCTGATGACGCCAGGCAGTGCTCCGAAGAGGGAATCTCCCGCCCAGAAGCAGCCCATGCCGAAGGTGGCACGCTTCCCTTTGACCTCCTCCAGTTGGCCCGGCATTCTGCTGTACGGACAGACATTGTTACGCTCGAAAATCGGACACGTGAGACCGCACTGGTACGACGAAATGGAGCAATTGTCTGCGAGAATGGCGCGAATCAGGTATGGTAGCATAACGGTGGTGATCAGGCGACATGATCGCGACATCCTTGACGATTCAGGTTCTCGCTTGACACACCGCCCACTCTTTCACGGACTCGACTCCGTGGTCTGTGATACTTCCACGGTGGCATGCGTTAAACCGGTATCGCGGACGAGCGGTATCGGCCCGAGACGGAGGACGGAGACGAGATCGCGCGAGAGGTGGCGGACGGACGGATAGATAGATAGAAGGGCGGACGAGCGAGAGGGAGAGGGGGACACGCGTGTCGGCTACGCGCGCCCGAATGTCTATGATCGCGAGATCGTCGGGGAGGCGGTGGCATCGCGGTGTCAGCGGTCGGTGCATCGCGTGGGGCGCACGTGCCAGGGGGAACGAAGGTCAGCGAAGGCCGATTCCGGACGATCGGTTAATTGATTGATTAACTGATCGCGGAATATCGAGGTCGAGCGATATGAATTTCGGCGTGCTTGAATTGGAAGTGTAAAACTTTTCGAACCTGGATATCTGATATCGGATCACGACGAGCTTCTTCGATAATATATTGATAGGTTAACGGATCTAAATCTTCATTTTTAAGCTGATTTTCAACTGATTTTCGATCGGTCGGTCTATGCCTAGTCGTTAAGTCGTTGAAATAGCTTGAGTTGATAACGCGGAAGTATTTCGAGAATTTTTCAGAAGGAGAGTTTATCAATTCTAATAATACAGCAATTTTTTAATCCAAAAAAAAACAATTTGCGTTAATAGATTGCTTTTTTGGAGCTTAGAATAAGTCTCCTTGTTTTTGATTTTGAATAAGAAAAATATTAGATTTTATAAATCATAACCTTAACTTTTTTCTTTAAGTTTTGGTGAGATTTGAATACTTTCTGGATACTTCCTGGATATGTCCTTGATTGATGCAAATTTGTAAACTGGCAAAAACCAGCTGAAACATCTTAGGTAGCAATCTAACGTTATTTGTCGTTAAAATGACGTCTAAATAAATGACGACGAATAAGCATGCTATTAAAATGTGACATATGTTATTTCGCTATATATTTATATTCTACACTTTTGCTTAAATTATTTATATTTGTAATGCGAGTGCTAATATCGTAAACAGAAATCTTGTATCACATTTCAATCGCAGTTTGAAGGAAATTTAAGAAAAATCTAAAAATGAAATATTTAAAATTGAATTTTATATTTAAGATGATTTTGAGATTCGATTTAATCTCACATTCAAGATCGTATTTAAGATGAAGTTAAATCGTAAGAACGAAGAAGTCCTTGTCCTTGATGTTACGTTTCATTCTCCAAATTCTTTATGAGTTCCATAACATGAAAATATTACTTTGAATATTCATTTCGATCAATGTAAATTAACTTGAATGTCAGTTTAATCTACTCTTTATCTTTCTCTAAGTTTTAAAAGTAAGTTAAATCAAGATTAAATTTAATTTACATTTGATAAATATGACATTTTGAAAAAATATCTTAGACATTTTTGAGATACTTTTTAGATGAACGTATCGAGAAATTAACAAGTTTTTAGGACCTTGGCTGAAATTTCGAACAAGTACAAAATTCGTGAGAGCGTAACGAAAGAATTTAAAAATATTCGTTGTGTAAATTGATAAAAAATCTTATTTATATCTTTTCATATTATATCAAGCTAGTTAAGTTTGCAGAATCTCAGGAATTTCGTCCTTTACCTCGATTGATGAACTCAGGTGTGCTCGACTGGTACGCTCAAACAGTGATTTTTTTTTCTAACTGTTGTGGTGGTTGATCGGGCACGCTAATGTACGGCGACGGTTCTTCCCGAGATGGTAAAGTGCTAGTGGAACTGGAGCAAAACTGACTGCGATGTCTTACAGGCAGTATTCAGTTTTTATGTACTCCGAACGTAGGTCTCTCCCCGCCGCATCGATTCTTCTTCGTTCTCCCACCTCGTATTAGATTCGGCCGTACGATTCGCTCGCACGTTTAGACCTGAATAGATCTATATTTCTCTCATTGTGTGTACCCCGGAACAAAAGAATAATAAAAATTTTTGAATAACATCAAAAGCCTATTAACCTGCGAACGAAACAAGGGATTATAGTGTCGTATAACCCTAGGACGGTTGAAGACACAAAAACCCTTTCATCCGGAAGGGGCAAAACAAAAAAAAGTGACCGTGACTGTAATCATAAGTCACTATGACTTGCCGCTTCTTACGAAACATATTACATTATATTATGTATGATATATATATATATATATATATATATATATATATATATATATATATATATATATATACAATATAT